GTGTGTGTGTGTGTGTGTGTGTGAGTGTGAGTGTGTGTGTGTGTGTGTGTGTGTGTGTGTGTGTGTGTTAATGACAGCTGACTGTCAGCGGTCACTGCTGCAGGTTTTGTTGTGCTTCAGTGAAATGAGCTCTGATGTGATGTGAAGTGATTCAGTGGTCGACTTTGGAGTCTGCACTAGAGTAGGGGGCGTGCCAAGAGCTTCGGCCTCTGCTGTGAGTGTGTGTGTGTGTGTTTAGGGGGGTGTCCTATGGAGAGCCAAGGAGCGAAAAAAAAAGCCCGTTGGCACCGATCCGTGCGGCGCGCACACATTGAGCACAGAGAGCCACGGCTCCGTGCGCGAGAGTGTGTGTGTGTGTGTGTAAGTGTGAGTGTGAGTGTGTGTGTGAGTGTGAGTGTGTGTGTGTGTGTGTGTGTGTGTGTGTGTGAGTGTGAGTGTGTGTGTGTGTGTTAATGACAGCTGACTGTCAGCGGTCACTGCTGCAGGTTTTGTTGTGCTTCAGTGAAATGAGCTCTGATGTGATGTGAAGTGATTCAGTGGTCGACTTTGGAGTCTGCACTAGAGTAGGGGGCGTGCCAAGAGCTTCGGCCTCTGCTGTGAGTGTGTGTGTGTGTTTAGGGGGGTGTCCTATGGAGAGCCAAGGAGCGAAAAAAAAAGCCCGTTGGCACCGATCCGTGCGGCGCGCACACATTGAGCACAGAGAGCCACGGCTCCGTGCGCGACATGAGCGGATCCGTGCGGGTGTTTTAACGGCATGACGGCGGATCGGAGGAGCTGCAGCTGAAGGAGGAGAGCCGGTAGAGACGCTCCAGCCCCGGAGAACCGAAGAGAGGAGCGGCGGAGAGCGAGAGGCAGAGCGCCGGGGAATCATGCGGGGTCCTGCGCTCCGGCTGCTGGGTCTCGTGTGGCACCTCTCCGCGCTTTTACGCACCGCGCAAACGTACAAACTCCACCACAAACAAGGTAAGACACGCACAAAATACACCACAAACAGGACAAGACACCGGTCAGTCTCATCTGCACCATAACGATTAGCTTATATACACGCTTTTGGAAGTTTGCTTTAGTTTCTATGACATAATAAAGCGGTTTGTCGGTTTTGCATCGAAACAGACTAGCGTTATGTTTAAATGAATTATATATTGTGTAAATGTGTGTGCTTTGCATTCTACATGTTGTCACTTTAAATGACACTAAGGTTGGAAATTGTATGGAGTGTATTATGCACCTCTCTAGTGTTTAGCTGATATACACAGGCCAAAAAGTATCTAGAGACTATGAAAAAGTATATAGAAACTTAAATAACACTTTGCATGTCATTGCATTGGATGATCAATTTCAAAGCAAGTGAAATTTATCATAAAAGATGCATAAACACACTTCTGACAGAGAGAAGTTTGTATGTTTGAAATGCTATATCAATAGATGTGGTTTTTCAGTGTTTGTTTGTGGTTAGCTAGTGGATGATGTTGGTAGTTTATGTGATTCTCTACACCTGTGGTTCCTCTGCACCTGCATGAGGAACCTGAGGAGAACTGACTCTATACATCCACTAAAACTCACCAAAACACCAGCTGACTTGAACTGATGAATCACATTCACGCATTTAGAAAAATGACCTGTATCTGTGACCCTGGAGCACAAAATCAGTCATGATGGTCATTTTTTGGAAATTGAGATTTATGAAATCTGAATAAATAAGCTTTCCATTGATGTATGGTTTGTTAGGAGAGGACAATATTTGGCCGAGATGCAACTATTTGAAAATCTGGAATCTGAGGGAGCAAAATAATCTAAATATTAAGAAAATCATCTTTAAAGTTGCTCAAATTAAGTTCTTAGCCATGCATATTACTAATCAAAAACTAAGTTTTGATATATTTACGGTATCACATTTACAAAATATCTTCATGGAACATGATCTTTACTTAATACCCTAATGATTTTTGGCATAAAAGAAAAATTTATAATTTTGACCTATATAATGTATTTTTGTGTATTGCTACAAATATACCCCAGCGACTTAAGACTACTTTTGTGCTCCAGAGTCACATATTGTATCTGATTTGATATGAAATATCTGAAACGTCTCCCACACTTCATGTGATTTCAGAGAGCTTCATCAGACAGCTGTCAGCGTATGAGATCATCACCCCGGTGCGCTTGAATGATTTTGGAGAGTCGTTCCCGCACCGGCTGCATTACCGCAGGAGGAGGCGCAGCGCTGACGCGGAGGTCTCGGGTTCGAGGGCTCATTACCGGTTTGAGGCGTTCGGTCAGGCGTTTCACCTGAACCTCACGGCTGATTCTGGATTCATTGCTCCGTCTTACACGGTGCTTCATCTGGGAGAGGAAGAGAAGCATGGAGACGCTGCAGACCTGCGCCACTAGAGTGTACAATATTGCGTTACTCCATAAAAAAAAGTAACTAATCGCGTTAGTTACTTTTTCTGGAAAGACTATGAGTATAAGAGTGTGCTGGTCAGTGTTGGGGGTAATGCATTACGAGTAACACGAGTTACATGATCAGATTACTTTCTTCAAGTAACTAGTAAAGTAACGCATTCAAATAAGAGTTACTTTCAAATAAGTAACATGCTACTTTGTTTTCCCATTTATTCACTGACACCAGTTGAGAGAAATTGGGAGTAAGTGCTGTAGCGAATCAGCTCATGGGGAAATATGAATAATTAATCATAACTAGTTATAATTAATTATAAATATTTAGATCCGCTGTAGATATTTAGCTGGCCTCTCAGGGTCAACTGTCTGTCAATTCTAAGAATGTTAATTTCCTGGTTAAGGGAAATAACTTTCTTACTGTACAACTCTACACAGAGCTTGTAGCATAAATCTGCATGATTAGGGACTCCAGTTATGAGCAAACAATGAACAACGTCAAGTGTGATACAAGTAAGACTTTATTAACTACATAAACACTTAAACTGGTCTAACATACACATATACACACACACACACATACAGTTGGTATAGGAAAGGGTTAAAGCTTAACTCAGTAAAGAGGAGGGAGAATAAGAATATCAAGTTACGGAACCATTTGCATATTCAGCAGATCTACCACCTTAAGGAAACATCAGATTCTTAGTTCAAACACACCTTTGTAAAAAGGTGCAAATTATACCTAATGTATCAATTAATAAGACTAAGTTTGAATACTTGCACGTCTCGTCTGTCTGAAAGAAAGGCTTGATGCAATCTGAAGGCTCGCGTGGATCTTTGCTGAAGTTGGTTGATGAAAAAGAACCAGTTTGCGTCAGAGAATCTTGGTGAATGAAAAAGTCAAGGCCGAAGCCTGGCACGTACTTAGAGTTTCCTGGAGCATTGCAGCTCACATTTTCATCTTCGCAGAATACAACCGAACCACCAACTCTGGGAGGGGACTGTGACGATTTGTTAATCTAATGAATAACCGATTTGTTAAATCAAATGAAAAATTGTGTGTTTGATTGGTCCAGACGCTACAGTGCAGAGGCATTTTCTTCAGCCTGAGGCTTATTAATTTCACTCTTGGTGTGAAAGGGCCTTTACGGTCACCAAAAATATAACTTTTGGGTTTTCTGTTATTAAAAATAAATAAGCAAGCCCAGCCCAGGTGACAAAAAGTAACACAAAAGTAACGTAGTGGATTACTTTCCATAAAAAGTAACTAATGCGTTACTAATTGTAATGCATTACTTTTAAAAGTAACTTTCCCCAACACTGGTGCTGGTTAAACATCTGGACTGGTAACTGGTGAAGCTGCTCCCATTCTTGGTAGTTTTCAGTGTTGGGCAAAATTACTTTTAAAAGTAATCCATTACAATATTGCGTTACTCCATGAAAAAGTAACTAATTGCGTTAGTTACTTTTTATGGAAAGTAATCCATTACGTTACTTTTGTGTTACTTTTTGTTACCTGGGCTGGGCTTGCCTATTTGTTATGTAACCCAAACGTTAAATTTTTGGCAACTGTAAGGCCCGAACATTACACCAAATATGAAATTAATAAGCAGGAGAGCTGTCAGTCAATAAATGGGAAAACAAAGTAACTTGGGTTACTTATTTGAAAAAGTAACTCTGATATTTCATTGTAATTTTAAAAGTAATGTGTTACTTTACTAGTTACTGGAAAAGTAATCTGATTTCGTAACTTTCGCTACTAATATTGTGTCACCCACAACACTGGTAGTTTTTGGGAAGTCAGAGCATTTCCAACTTGTAATTACTAGTTCAACAAAGACATGAGTGGTATTACTAGCGGGAAATACATAATTATGGCATGAATGCTGGAGTAGTCTTCGGTTTAGTTGAGTTATTCTCCTCTGTTCTACTCGAACACTGTATTAGCGGTAACTAGTAATGTGTAGTGCTTGTTAACTGTTCCATTTTGGTTGGTTTTTGGGACATCACAGTGGTTTACTGGGATTAGTTAGAGTGTTTCCATCATGTAATTACGAGTTCAACAAAGACATCAGTGGTTTTTACAAGCAGGAAACTCATAATTAGGGTAATTCTGAAATGAACGCAGGTGAAGATTAGGCTTTGGTTTAGTTGAGTTATTCTCCTTAAATTGATTGGACTAGTGAGTTTAAGACAGTGTTTAATGTCACAGTGGTTAAATGGGATTTACAACTTGTAATTACAAGGTCAACATGACATGAGTGATTGTACTACGCTTAGTTCAAACACACCTTTGTAAAAAGGTGCAAATTATACCTAATGTATCAATTAATAAGACTAAGTTTGAATACTTGCACGTCTCGTCTGTCTGAAAGAAAGGCTTGATGCAATCTGAAGGCTCGCGTGGATCTTTGCTGAAGTTGGTTGATGAAAAAGAACCAGTTTGCGTCAGAGAATCTTGGTGAATGAAAAAGTCAAGGCCGAAGCCTGGCACGTACTTAGAGTTTCCTGGAGCATTGCAGCTCACATTTTCATCTTCGCAGAATACAACCGAACCACCAACTCTGGGAGGGGACTGTGACGATTTGTTAATCTAATGAATAACCGATTTGTTAAATCAAATGAAAAATTGTGTGTTTGATTGGTCCAGACGCTACAGTGCAGAGGCATTTTCTTCAGCCTGAGGCTTATTAATTTCACTCTTGGTGTGAAAGGGCCTTTACGGTCACCAAAAATATAACTTTTGGGTTTTCTGTTATTAAAAATAAATAAGCAAGCCCAGCCCAGGTGACAAAAAGTAACACAAAAGTAACGTAGTGGATTACTTTCCATAAAAAGTAACTAATGCGTTACTAATTGTAATGCATTACTTTTAAAAGTAACTTTCCCCAACACTGGTGCTGGTTAAACATCTGGACTGGTAACTGGTGAAGCTGCTCCCATTCTTGGTAGTTTTCAGTGTTGGGCAAAATTACTTTTAAAAGTAATCCATTACAATATTGCGTTACTCCATGAAAAAGTAACTAATTGCGTTAGTTACTTTTTATGGAAAGTAATCCATTACGTTACTTTTGTGTTACTTTTTGTTACCTGGGCTGGGCTTGCCTATTTGTTATGTAACCCAAACGTTAAATTTTTGGCAACTGTAAGGCCCGAACATTACACCAAATATGAAATTAATAAGCAGGAGAGCTGTCAGTCAATAAATGGGAAAACAAAGTAACTTGGGTTACTTATTTGAAAAAGTTACTCTGATATTTCATTGTAATTTTAAAAGTAATGTGTTACTTTACTAGTTACTGGAAAAGTAATCTGATTTCGTAACTTTCGCTACTAATATTGTGTCACCCACAACACTGGTAGTTTTTGGGAAGTCAGAGCATTTCCAACTTGTAATTACTAGTTCAACAAAGACATGAGTGGTATTACTAGCGGGAAATACATAATTATGGCATGAATGCTGGAGTAGTCTTCGGTTTAGTTGAGTTATTCTCCTCTGTTCTACTCGAACACTGTATTAGCGGTAACTAGTAATGTGTAGTGCTTGTTAACTGTTCCATTTTGGTTGGTTTTTGGGACATCACAGTGGTTTACTGGGATTAGTTAGAGTGTTTCCATCATGTAATTACGAGTTCAACAAAGACATCAGTGGTTTTTACAAGCAGGAAACTCATAATTAGGGTAATTCTGAAATGAACGCAGGTGAAGATTAGGCTTTGGTTTAGTTGAGTTATTCTCCTTAAATTGATTGGACTAGTGAGTTTAAGACAGTGTTTAATGTCACAGTGGTTAAATGGGATTTACAACTTGTAATTACAAGGTCAACATGACATGAGTGATTGTACTACGGGGAAACTCATAAATAGGATAATGATCGTAGGATTAGTTCATTGTGTTCTGTGAATGCTTTGGTTTAGCTGAGTTGTTCTCTAGTTTAACTAGTCTTCCCACAGAAGGGATGACTGGAAACATGCTTGCACATGTTTTAAATGCCTGAGCACAATGTTTAAACTACTAGCCTAGTTATTTTAGATGGGAAAAATGACTTGAGTGGACTGGACTAATGAGTATAAACAGGGTTTATTTGTTAAAGATCTGGGCTGGTAATGTTTAGTGTTTTCTAACTTTTTCATTTTGGTTGTTTTTGTGACGTGACAAATTATTCGGAGCGTTGCCTAATGTAGTTATGAGTTGAACAAAGATGTCACCCTTTTTAACTAGCAGGAAACTCATAATTACTGTAATTCCAATGTGAACGCAGGACTAGTTTAGGCTTTGGTTTAGTTGAGTTGTTTTTCTCTAGTTTTGATGGAAAACATGCCTGAAGCATGAGCGGACAAGCAAGTTGTTTTAAATGGAATACATATGTAGGGTGTCATGGGCTAGATAGTATAAACAGAGATTTTAGTGGTTAAAGATCTAAACTGGTAACATGTAGAAGGTTGCTAACTTTTCCAAAATGGTTGTTTTTTGTGATATCACAGATAGCTAGAAGTTCAGTGGTAAATTGGGATTGGCCAGAGCATTTCCAACTAGTAATTACAAGTTTTTACTAGCAGGAAACTTATATATTATTGTAATTCTGACATGAATTCAACATGAGTTGTTTCTACAAAGGTTCGGCTTTGGTTTTGAGGTATTTTTTTCTGGTTTAGTTGAGTTGATCTTCTCTAGCTTTGATGGAAAAGGTGCCTGAGGCATGAACAGATGTTTAAACTGCAATGCTAGTTGTTTTAGATTGGAGAAATTACTTTGGTAGACTGTTAACTAGCTGACTAGAGGGTTTAGTGGTTAAAGATCTGGGGTCTCATTTATAAACGTTGCGTACTATGCACAAAATGGGCATATAAATATGCGTAAGCAATTTTCCACGCACGTATCCAGATTTATAAAAAATAAACTTTGTGTAAATATGTACGCACCGTACGGACATTCTAGACCATGTGTGCAAACTCTTTTTCCTGGAGTGAGAAAACTAATGAAGTAAACAA